GTTCCAGGAAGCTGGGCAGGCACCTAACCACTGTGCTTAGCCCTCCCTGTGCAAGTACCAGTGGTCTGGAACTCAGTTCACATGCCATTAATTCCCCTGATTGAAGAAGGTCACTGGGCATAATCTAATCAGGCCACAAAACCTCCCATACAACCTAGTCCAGTCTAAGTGGTTGGAACCCGGGCAGGTCCTTGACCCCTGAGGGTGATGATCTTAAACTCTTCCAGGGCTTGGGATGGTGTGCGGATACTTACGTCTGGCTGCCCAGTTCCCCAGATTGAGAGAAGTTTGCTGCGCATGACCCAGGCAGGCCCAAAACCTGTGCAGCTGGTTGAGTATGACAGGAAGTTGGGCAGTTCCTTGACTACTGGGAGCAATGATCTTAAACTCTCCCGGTGCTCGGGATGGTGCACGGACTCTCGCCTCCATCTGCCCAGTTCCCTGGATTGACAGAGGGTCACTGGAGGTGGTCCATGCAGGCCTGAAACTTCCAGAGCCCATTCCAAAGTGGCTAGAAGCTGGGCAGTTCCACTGGTTGCAATGATCTTAAACTCTCCAGGGGCTCAGGAAGGTGCGCGGACACTCACCTCTGGCCAAAATAACAGTTTTCGTTAATTTGATTGATGCATTTTATGTGGATTATCACTGGAAGTCTAGGATATCTAGAGAAGACAAGACTTGACATTTGTTAAAACCATGTATAGAAAGCCTCAAAAAATAAAGAATGGTAAAATGACTCACTGACCAGTAGTTCTAAAACTACCTCTGGTTAAGAAGAATGAAAAACTGGTATCATTGTTTAAAGAACATAAATTTGACTGGAAAGATGGAAGGTTAGGTTCAGAAAAAGGCAGAAAATAGTTTGGAGGTGTAGTCACAGTAACTGTTCAACAATGTCATCAATCTACTGCCACCAGAATAAACAAGTTATAAATGATTTCAGTGATTCTGCACAGGATTCAATTCTTGGGAAGGTGTTTCTAAATAGTTTAGTTTGAAAAACTCTCAACTAGGATAAGAATAGTACTTTGGTTTTTCAATCTTAAAGGAGAAGACTGCCCAATCAAGGCAGGCACTGCACATACAAAACACAAGTGGAAAACTTTTCTGCTCAAGGTGTGGGCACTTGGTGTATTGCACAGCCAGTAGGAGAATGGCCTCCCAGATATACGGATCATACTGATTTCAGACCTGTGACCAATGGGTTCAGTAATGGCATGATAATAAGCTAAATGATAAAGTACTTTGAGAATTGATATTTGAAAACAATGTTGGCTAAAGTTATAGCTAATATTTATTGATTATCAAAGTTACAACTGCCATGAAATAGAGGCTGAATGGGAAGAGGCACAACTTGGAACTGAGCTGCAGTATGATTTAGCCATGTGTTTACTTAGAATTAATACACAAATAATTGAAACAGAAATATTTATAACTACAATTTAATAATAACCCTTTAACTCTCTCTGTAACTTTGCACAAGTCACTTAACCTCTTTATACCCATCTGGATTGTCACATGTGACTAATAGAAATAACAAAGCTTCCTGTCATGCAGAGCTATGGGAATGGAGTGAGGTAACACATGAAAAGTTCTTGGAATGGTGCCTGATACGTAACATATACTGTATACATGTTCCTTTCTGTTCTTAGTAGTGTTTTTACTTTAGGGCTCACAAAGTGCTTTTACATTCTTAATTTTGTACACATAAACAATCTAATTGTGAAATTATTCTTTTAAAAATGTAATGAAGTGGAGATTTTAGCTATATGATAGAATGGAGTGACATCACACTTTATAACTACAAAGTACTATGTTCTACTAGACCTGCTTAGACATGTAAAAAGCATCACTGAAAGATCTCCATGAGGACAAAAAAAAGAGAAAAATCTCCCAACGTTGGCTAATGATATTTAGTAATAGAGGGATATATATTTCACAATTTTAATGCAATAATTTATGCATATATTTAAAGGACAAATTTGTCTACTAGGAATAAATAGTACTCTGTGTTCTTTGCACTTGGAAACTGAAAAACAGATGCTGGTGTAATGAGAAAATAAGGCCATTAAACTGCGTGTTCTAAGCCATCAGATAACTTGGCTAATGCCGGCCCTCTGAGTTCTGCTCAGCTATCCCTTGCCCTCTCACTACACCTCTGATGAACTGTACTTTCTAAATATGTTCTCTCTGTACTTCACTGGTGCTGTAATATAGTAAATATATAATAATTTACAAATGACACAATGCAGTACCTATTCAGTTACAAGGTAGAGCCTAAGTAAAAGTCCTCAAATATCTAAGGAAAATGAACAAACAAGAGGGAGGTAAAGCTTTTGCAAGAACATATGACAGACAGAGATATTTTAATTAATTCTTCTTCTGTTTTTTTTTTTTTTTTTTTTTTTTATGGTACCAGGGATCAAACTCACAACCCTGCGCTTCCAGGCAAGCTCTTACACCACTGAGCTAAACCCCCAGCCTTAATTAACTCTTTACATGGTTTTCTTCTGTGATAAAAAAGAGTTAGGAAGGCATTTTCTTTCTTCATAAGATGGGTTAAAAATATCAGTCACATTCAAAAGGATCATAATAATCAATTCTAGTAATGAAATAGAAAATTTTATACTTACAAAGAAGCCTAATTTTTGAACCAATGTTTTTGAAAATATGCTTCAAATATATTACTCATTTTCATGTGTAAGATTTAAGAATTAACTAATTCATGTATGGATATCTGATCTTGATCCCTGTATAACTAATACTGTGTTATAAAAAACAGATACTGGAATAGAATTTATATCTATACCACTTAAATAAATAACATCAACTGAAAATCTTTGGCATCTAAACTGTACTTATTTCTATTCTTCCAAATATAAAGGAATACTTCAACCTTCTAATTTTACTTGAGTGTAAATTTCTTGTAATTATCCAAATTACATGCTGCAAATCTCTGAAAAGAATATTTTAAAGGAGTACAAACTGAAGTTTTCTGTCAAGGTAACTTTCATGATTACACTGAGTCTCTACCTCTGAACTAGAATCAAGGCAGCTGTTTGTAGCTGAGTGAGAATGCAAATATTATTGACTCAGTTGTTTCATGTCTAGTTGAATCCTGACTCTGATTCTTTTCCCAGTTTTGTGACCTTGTACAAATTATCCACATGTTCTTTACCTGCATTTTTAATGAAGGGATAATAAACTACTTACCTCATCTGGGTATTAGAAAGATTAAATAAAGTCATAAATATAAAGAACCTTGTGTATTCCCAACCCATACCAAGAGTTCAGTAAGTTTTAGGTATCTCACTATTTACTTTAATAAAGTGGTACACAGTGTATGGCATAAGTGTGCAAGACTTTCTACATAAAATGAAATTACCATGTGAAACAAGATCAGAGTGCTTACATTTTTGTAGCTTTTACACATGCCCTTGGGAATAGTGGGAGTGGGATATATCCCCTCATTTCTGTTATTATTTCTAGCTCTATTGTTTTTTCCAGTATGATGGCTACATCCTCTCAGCCCAGTCTCTTGTTCTTTTCTAAATTTTATCAACTTGAAAGATAAAGGTCTTGCCAGCAGTTGTAAATTACACTTCCTGGTCATGGGCCTAGGAGAAGGGGACAAGCCACATACTCCAAAGTCCCGTGGTGACACAGTTAGGAGAGTAGTTTGGCCCTGATGCTGTCCTGCAGGGCTAGCCCATGTTGTGAAACTCCATGCCTGGCAGGGTGAAAAGGCACCACTGGTGCTACCACAGCTTGTGACAGCAGCTCCCCGAACCAGGGCAAAACTTTAAGGAGGGAGACTACTCCCAAACTTCAGAGTTCATTTCAAGAGGTTCTGAATCTCTTTAACAAAATGAATGTTAAATTTGAGTGACAAATATGAAGAAGTATATCCTTCTCCCTAATGGTTGCCTGGCATTTCTAGTGTCCCTGAAATGATCAATCATTCACAAAACTGGTATGTAAGTTGTTCAAGCTAACAACGGAGATTGTTTTATTTCTTCTCATGGTCAGGGCCATAGTTTTTAGACAACTCTGCAACTCACAGAGCACAGTGAAGCCCACAAGCAGTAAAATTGGATTAAGCATCACTTATTGCCTAGTTACATTTCATTACATTCCAGAAGGATTTTGGAAAGCTATAATTTTTATTGCTAGAGTTCAGGAACAAAATGATATGTTTATAGCTAAACTATATTTACCATATGTGTAAAAATCTCCTGAAATAAGAAGAGCCTGATGTTTCTTGGGGTATCCATTATCTCAAACTAAAGTGAATCTCTCTACATTTTTTACTCTATACTAGCACCAATGCAAACAACTAAAATTAGTTTATATCATTTAAACCTAGATGAAAATTTAAAAAACATTACCAGTAGGAATCATATATTTTACTCAAAGACCCAAAATCTAACTATAAATAGGTTAATTTTAAAAGGGCTATTAAAATGCTGTCATGGTTTATGTCTGTGTCCCCAGGTCTCATGAGTTTGCATTGTACATTTGTGATTGGTTCATTGTCTAGTGCTTGGATTGATGGTGTCAGTGCTCCACCCACATAGGGGTGGAGCCAGGATGTGATATAATGGTAGGAAGGTGTGTCTTGCCTTTTTTTGCTGGTTCCTGCTTGCTGTTTGTAGCCACCATGAACTGTGGCCCAGCCATGCCCGCCTGCCTTGTAGCCAAGTGAGTGTGGACTGAAACCTCCAAAAACTGTAAGAAATAAACCTTTCCTTTCCCAACTTGGGCTTCAGGTATTCTGTCTCAGCAACAAGTAAAAAGTAACTAAGACAAATGCCTTAGTGATATATTTATCAAGTTGTTACTTAAGTGAATAACTGGTAAAAACTTCCTTCTTAGAAATTTTAAAGTACACTTAGGGAAAGCTAAAATATTCAGTAAGTAACTTACAGTGATAACATTACTGCTTTCTGAATTTTTACATGTGCATAACTCTCCTCTTGGACAAAAATGATGATTGCACCTTTGGAAGCATCAGAATCACATTTAATTAGAGATCAATTTAACAATGCTTACTTAAAATATTTTTGAAAAAACTAAGTAGGCCATCTTCTAATATTTGGTAGAATTCTGAGAAAGTGAGTCATTTTCAATAGTTTCTGTCTCTGTTGAGTTTAAGAGAAGGCCCAGTCTCCATAAATAAAAAGTAAATAATGGAAATGTATCAGAAAGCTGAAAGATTGCTTCATCAAGCTTCTGAAGATATTTCTTGACTTCTTGGTCATCAAGCCCTGTACCTGATGTGTGCTCTTCTTTGTTCTCCTTTAGAAGAAGCTGTTCCAAAACCCACAATAGGGAGAAAACATTTTCATAGCGTGTCACATCATAACTTGCTTGTACCTATAAATAAACAACAGAATCCGTGAAAAATATGGGTGTAGATTATAGGCTCAGTAAAATGTCAGATGATAAGATTAAATGTTTATTACAACATAAAAGTATCTGGTTTGCTGAACATTTTTCTCCTAGTCCCTTTGATTTTCAGAGAACAGAAAAGAAAATTTTAAGATTTTACAATCACAATGAATGTTATTTTCCCCTTGATGGTTTATAAAAGTTAAAACTTTTTGCTTGAAGTCTAGCTATATACATTAAGCATCCTTAAACTGAACATTCAAAATTCAAAATGTTTCAAGATACAAAATTGTTGAGTGTCAATATGGTACACAAGGAGAAAATTCCATATCTGATCTCATGTGACAGATTGTGGTCAAAATGCAAGTGCATGAAAAATACTGTATAAAATAACTTTCAGGCTGTGTGCATAAATGTATATGAAACAAGTGAATTTCATGTAACTTGTGTTGCATTTATATTGTACTTATTCCAGGTATCTAAATACATGAAAATTCAGAAAGGTCCAAAATCTGAAATACTTCCGGTCCTAAGCATTTTGAATAAGGAATCTGCAGTCCATCAGATGCTGAGTGTTGAATTTATTATTTTGCCAAAAACATTCTGTTGCTACTCTTGCCAGTGATAACATAAGGTTCTTTGTGAATTGAAGTTTAAGGACTTGTTTGGATGTAAAATTCAACTCTACAGCAGACAGAATTAGTATTTGTATGTGACCAGAAGTGGTCTTGTCTGAATCTACACAAATCAAAAGGAAGCAACATTAAATTTTGTGAAATCAAATAAATGGACAGGAGGAGAAACACAGATATACCTTATAGAACTCAATTGTTCTAGAGAGTTAAATGAAAGGCAAGTACAAGAAAGGCCTAAAAAATGGACAATGACAAATGTAACGTGAGAGAAGATCAAATGGGTATGAAAAGAGAAGCTGCCTTTATTATTTACTTATTAATTAAGAAATACACAAGAATGCTTATGAGGTAAGCAGAATGCTTATCATCATTTAACAGGCAGGAAACTGGGCTTCTACAAAGTACACTAATTAGAACAATTCTACACATCCTAACCAAGAACTTTTTTCCATATAAATTTTGTTCAAGTTCATTAAAACAAATTATCATTGGGAAAAAACAAAGAAGTGTGTTAAAAACATTTACCAAATCTCTCCATTTTAATAATACATAAACGTAAGAACCTTCATTTAGAGTCAGAGGAATTTATTCTTCAGAAAGGCGGACCAATAAATGTAGTCAAATATGTATGACTCAGAAAATAAGCGAATTCTTTCTTTAAAACCTGTATCTCTGAGAGTTGACTTTTTTCTCCTTGAGAATCACTGGTCATTGTTATCATTTGAACAGTGAGACACCATTCTTTCCAGCCCATGTGTGCTGTATCCCTAAGCTGCAGCCCCTCTGCAGGTGCCACCCCATCCAAAAGTAGACTAAATGGCTGCAGTGCCCACTTCATACACAGACATAGCTAATGTCACATAGAGAGCTTTCCCCAGTAGAAATCGGCCACAGTCTCTTTGAGTGCACCTGTGTCCTGGGCACCAGCTCGGATGTGATAGAGACCTGGGCCCTGGGCTGATCTTGGAATGGTGTACCTCTGTGCACAGCTGCGCTCTATTCTGCTTCCTCACTACTTTACAGGCACCTGTGCCTTATATATTGTCACTGGTGCAGCTGTGAGTATACCTGAGCTCCCAAATCTAGTCCCATGGATGTCCAGATTCCCAGTGTCATAGTCCTTCCTGGGTCACCTGTGCTCTGTGTGGTGCTTCACTCATCAGACTCTAGTCCTATGACCACTGAAAGAGACACTGCAAGCTGAAACTGATGACTAAAGATATAAATATTCTGGTAGGGGAAAAAGAAACAACAGGGAGAACCAGAGTAGACATCACTGTTAAAACACACAACAGACAGTTATAGTGTTGGCTGCTAACTATCTTCGCAGTTTTATCATGACCAGGATCTTCGGACAGGAGCAGCAGAGAAACACCACAGCTGTGCTCTCAGTGATGGTAGAGCTACTACCCCAACCAGTGAGCACACCACTGCCTCCCATCAGGGAGGACTGTGTTCCACAAAAGGGAATGGTTTTCCACAACAAAATAGCGTGGCAACTCTGGAAGAGATGATTGCACTACCAGATGCACAGACATTAACAAAAATAAATGAGAAATGTGGGAAACCAAGAATATATATGACCATAAGAAATATAACTATCTCCTAGTAACTGACCCAAAAATAGATATATGCAAACTTCTGATAAATAATTTAAAGTAAATTAAAGAAGCTCAGAGAAGTTTAGGAAAATTCTATATAAATGAATAAAATGCAAAATTTATCAGATAAATTGAAATTATTTTCTTGAAAAACAAAGAAATTATGGAATTGAAAAATAAATGAAATGAAAACTGTGGTTGATAATGTCAACACAGAATTCACCAGGCAAAAGAAAATAATCTATTATGTGAAAATATACAAATAAAAAAGTAATGAAAATAAATGTGTACATGATTTATGGGACAGCATCAAAAGAACAAATATTCTAATTATAGGAGTGAAAAAAGAGACAATGGGAAAGAGTGGTTATTTAAATAAATATTAGCTACAAAGTTTGCTAATATAGGGAAGGATAAAAGTGTATACATAAAGGAGAGATAAGTCTTCTTATTTAACTCAGTCAAGTCTGCATAATCAAATGGTAGAAAATAAAGACAAAGAGAAAATTCTGAAAGCAGCAAGAAAAGAAGCATGAAGAAATGTCATCAGGATAACAGTGGATTGCTCAGCAGAATCCTTCAGAATGTTCAAAGTGCTGGAAAACAAATAATAACAACTGAAAATATTTTATCTGGGAAACTGTCCTCCAAGAGTGAAAGACTCATAAAGAGTTTCACACAGAGACAAAAGCCAAGAGAGCCTATCACCACCAGAATTATCTTGTGATAAATGTTAAAGGAAATGTTTTAAGTTTAAAGAAAAGGATGCTACCGAGGAACATAAAAGTATATGAGAATATAAAACTCATAGGTAAAAATGTACAGTGATATCCAGAATATTCTAATACTGAAATGTGGTATGAAATAATATCTTTAGTTTGAGGATTAAAAGGAAAACATTAAACATAATAACAGCTACAATAATTTGCTAAAAGATTCACAATTTTATAAAAAAGTATAAATGATGTCATCGGAAATATAAGAAATAGAAAGTGGAATAAAAGTACATATTCTTTAATTAAAAGATAAGTTATTAGCAATTATAAACCTCATAATAGTCATAAGGCAAGAACTTATAGAGGATACAAAAAAATAAAAGCAAAGTATATTACTGGAAAAAAATCAAATTACATAAAGATAGTATGAGAAAACCAGCAACAGAAAATATACAAAACATCTAGAAAGCAATAAAATGGCAGTACTAAGTCTCTATCAATAATTATGTTGAATCTAAATGGATTAAATTATCCAATCCAAAGACAGAGTGACTAAATAGACAAAGTAAAAACAAAATCTAAGAAAGTATTCCAGGAAGTGAAAACTGGAGGTGAAGGGAAAGATACTCCATGCCAAGGGTATCTAAAATATAAATAGGGCAGCTATACTTAAATCAGAAAAAATAGATTTTAAATCAAAATGTGTGAAATGAGACAAAAAAGATCATCATATAATGATAAAAGCTGATTACTCCAGATAGTAAAGCAATAGTAGGGACATACGCACCCACCAAGGGAATACCTAAATAAACATGTAAAGCGTATAACAAAAGATCTGAAGAGAAAGAGTGTAATATAATAATAGAGGAAAACTTCAATACTTTCAACAGTGTATAGATCATTCTACAGATCATAGATTTATACATCTACAGATTAGAAAGAAAATAGAAACATAGGGTTTTAAATATACTTTAGATTAAATGAACTTATAGCATACATAGATCATCCAGTTCAGTTATGGCATCAGAGTACACCACTGAAATAAACAGAACATTCTCTTTGCTAGATCATGTTAGCCCATAAGAAGTTGTAACAATTTTAAAAAGAATAAACTCATATAATAAAGTACCTTTTTCAACTATAATGGCATGAAACAAAAGTCAGTAAAGGAAGACTTTTGAAAATTTTTAAGTACATTAAAATTAACATTTTCTTGAACTAGAAATCTGGGAAAAAAGAAAACATATCTTGAGAAAACAAATGGAAATAGAATATGCTAAAATTTATAAGATGTGGTACAGAAATAAATTATTACAGCAAAAAAGAGAAAATTTGAATAAACATTCACACCTCCAAGATCTAGAAAAGGAATAAACAAAGCACAAATTTTGGAAAAGAGAGTGATTAATATCAGAGCAAACATAAGAGAAATAGATGAAAACTTAAAAATAAATGAGATTAAGAAATATATGTAATGTATTTTATTTATTTTTTATTAAAATATTTTAAAAAAGGAAAATTAAGATAAAAGAGGACATAACAACAAAGATCAGAATGAACAATTTATCACCACTGCTATTTAATATAGTATTGGAAATACTAGCCAGAGCAATTAGACAAGAGAGAGACATAAAAGGGGTAAAGATAGGAAAAGAAGAAGCTAAATTACCATTTTTTGCAGATGAGATGATACTCTACATAGAAGACCCCCTAAACTCCATTGAAAGACTCATAGATATAACAAATAAATTCAGTAATGTAGCTGGATACAAAATCAATACTCAAAAATCAATAGCATTCCAATAAACTAATAACAAAATCAAGGAGAGAGAAACACGAGAAGTCACATCCTTCACACTAGCAACCAAAAAAAGTGAAATATTTAGGAATTACTCTTATGAAAGAAGTGAAAGACCTATACAGGGAAAATTATAATACACTGAAAAAAGAAATTGAAGATGATCTCAGAAAATGGAAAGACATCACTTGTTCATGAATAGGAAGAATTAATATTGTGAAAATGGCCATTCTCC